AGGTGAGCCCCCGGCGCGGGGGCTTGCCCAGCTGCCTGTGCACCCCTGAACCGAACCGACTACAGGTCCTTGCACACACGCACCCACGCGCTTGTGTGCCCACAGGTCCAGTGCGTGGGTGCACGCGACTCAAACACACTCGTCACACCAGGGATGCGCCCACGAATTGGCAGCCCTGCGCACCCGTGCACCCACGAATCAAGGGTGCCCACGCACAGACACCCCTGCGCACCCATGCACAGCTGCACCCGAGCACGGACACAGCCGCAAGGCAAAAGTCTCTGTGCACTGATGCACTTCTGAAGCAAATGCACTTAGGTGGCAGTGTACCCGTGCACCGATGCACTCGTACGCCTGGGCACCGACGCAGCCATGAAGCAGATGCACTGTGCACCCTGCGCCAAGTGCGTGTGCACACCAACGCATCCATGCACCAATGCATCCATGCACTTGTGCACTCATGCACCGATGCACCAACACGTGGAGGCACTTCTGCACTCATGCACTGCTGCACCAGTGCATCCATGCACTGCTGCGCTGACACAGCTGAACATGTAAGCACCAACACACCCACACACTGCTGCACCAACGCACCCATGCATTTAAGCACCAATGCATCCACTCACATGCGCAGTTCTGTGTCAATGCACCCATGCATTGACATGCACGTATGTACCAATGCATCCACACAGCGACACACCAATGCATCCATGCACACACACATCAATGCACCCACATACTGCTGCACCGACGCCCCCATGCATTCAAGCACCAATGCAGCCAGGCACAAATGAACTCGCACACTAATGCACTAATGCATCCATGCACCAATGCACCCATGCATTCATGGGCTGGGGCATCCATGCACTTCTGCACCAATGCACCCACACACATAGGCACCAATGCACTCACGCACCTGTGCACTTATGCACCAGCTCACCCACATATTGATACACCAATGCACCCACACACTGCTGCACCAACGCACCCATGCATGTAATCAACAAGGCACCCACACATCGATACACCGATGCACCCGTGCACTTCTGCACCAATGCATCCACCCAGCGACACACCGATACATCCACACACATAGGCACCAATGCATCAACACACCAATTCACCGATGCATCCACACACACATGCCCCTGTGCACTTATGCACCCATGCACCCACACACCACTACACCAACACACCCCTGCTTTTAAGCCCCAATGCACCCACACACTGATGCACTTGTGCACTTATGCACCAGTGCATCCACCCAGTGACACACCAATGCATCCACGCATATAGGCACCAACACGCCCATGCACTTGTGCACCAATGCACCCACACACTGCTGCATCAATGAACCTGTGCATTTTAGCACCAATGCATCAGCACACCGATTCACCAATTCATCCAGGCACACACGCACCCGTTCACTCACACACCAATGCATCCATGCACGGATACACCCATTCACTTATGCACCAATGCATCCACATACTGATACACCAATGCATCCGTGCACACGTGCACCGATGCACCAGTTCACCGCTGCACCAACGCACCCACGCATTTCAGCACCAATGCAACCACACATCAACACACCAATGCACCCACGCACCAATGCATCCACACACCGATGCACCAAATGTGCTCATAGATGCATGGGCGCACCCAAGCACCCACGCAGGGATGCCCCAAATGCATGTACCCAGCTGCAACTGCGCGAAGCAACCCACGAAGCAAGCGCAGATGTGCACGCGACGCCGGCGCGGCCCCGCGCACCGCGCTCACCTCCACGCAGAA